GATACTACAATTGTTTTCCGTGCATTTAGATAAGAAGATGATGGGGCAGAAAATGTATGTATATATATATATATATATATATATATATATATATATATATATACTGTATATATGTAGATATATGATATAGCTGTATCCCCTCTGAGATGTGTGTGTGTGTGTGTGTGTGTGTGACTGACGACCAACTCTCCTAAAACCACTTGAAGGCTGGGGATGGATGACTCATCAAAGTTGCATGGCTCATAATGAGCTGCATGCTTCCTGACGGCTGCTGCTGCTGCTGCACCAGCCGAGCAGCAGATCGCTCCACGCCTCGTCTTGCTGGGGGAGATCTCGTGTCATAATTCAACACTACTGTCGTGGTACTTGTGTGACTCACCTTGGCCTCATTGAGTATCACAGCAGCAGACCATCTCTCTCTCTCTGGTGTCCTAACCGGTTTCGTCTAGTCGGGGGTTTAATGGTCATGCATTATGTTAACCCCCCCCCTTCTCCCCAGTCGTCGTTGTTTTTTTACACTCGAGTTACGTTCACAGCGTGCAACAGCGCAGCACCGACGCATCGCTTAGAGGTCAGGCGGCGGGTGGGGAGAAGGGATGTAGGAGAATCAAGGCGATGGAAAAGGGAGACCGCTCGCGCCCCCTGACACTGCCACAGCCCGTATCTTGGCCACGCCCATTGGAATTGGACAAGCCCAACGTTGATCACGCCCCAGTCTGTGATTCTTGGCCACGGCCCCCCCCAACACCGGCCGCGCCCCTTCACCACAGACCAACACGCCACTTCCGAAGGCGAGAGAGCTGAGGTGGTTTTGACGTACCGTGCCATGCCGCCAAAATCATCACCCCCCCCCCGCCCCTCCCAATGGACGCCGTCCAAACATAATACCATGGTGACAGCCAGCCAGCCAGCCAGCCAGCCGGGAGCCAAGAGGGATTATGGGTAGTGGGCCTTAATATCTGATTTTAATTAGCAGTTTAACACAGTGATCACGCCTCATTAGAGAACCCTGGGGGAGGGGGGGGGGGGGGGGGGGTGAGGGGCGTGCACGTACGCGAAGCGTGCCAGGGAGGAGGGCCGCCAGGGGGGAGAAAGGGGAGAGGAGTGGAAGGGAGGGGGGAGAGCGGAGAGGAGTGCAAGGGAGGAGGGTGGGGGGGGGGGGTTAGATGCTTCGGGGCGATGGGGGTGACAGGTGGGGAGGAGGGGTGGGTGTTACTGATGAAACACCCTGTAGTCTATTTTAACACACACACACACACACACACACACACACACCTGTACTCTTATCTAGAATACACACACACACACAGACACCCACGCACCTGTAGTCTATTTAACATACACCCAACTGTAAAATGTGTATTGAACACACATTTGTATTGAACAAATTGCGTGTTATTTGACATGCAATTTTCGATGGCTGCGGCAGGAGGGCGTTCGAGTCCCAGCTCAAAAGGCTCTGCCCCAAAGACGGCAGCCGAACCTGCAGGCATCCTTGAGCTAAGACGCCCTACCCTCCACCTACCCCTTAAACGACATGTGGTCGCTCTGGACAAAAGCATCTGTGTCCATCTGTAGTTAGTGTGTTTCCGTCTGTGTTTACCGTACATTTATGCGACATTACAGGGAGCGCTTCTTCACGGCACCGCCGCAATATGAACACGGTTAATGCTGGGCGGTTTTCCGGGCCAACATGGCCTGCATCCAAACACGCATCTGTTGGTTTGCTTACTTGTTGGTATAGCATCTCGCAAGCCACTGGAGACCACACAGTATGACCGCGTGGAAATCTGTCTCTCTGTCTCTGTCGCTGTCTCTCGTTCTCTCTCTCTCTCTCAGAGGAAACCCCATCGGCATTGTGCACTTTCTTACAAAACTAGGGCCTGGTTCCCTAGTGCTTGTGATGGTGGAGGAGGTGAACGCACGCACACACACACACACACACGCACACACTCACCCGCCCGATGTCCACATAATGACATAATGGAAGGGTTGTAACCAATAACAGTAGGTAGCAGGGAACACACCACAGCTTGCTCTCTCTCTCTCTCTCTCTCTCTCTCTCTCTTTCTCTCTCTGCCTGTGGCTGTCTATGGATGGTGTGAGATTCAGTCCACTGCTACCCTTCTCTCTCTCTCTCTCTCTCTCTCTCTCTCTCTCTCTCTCTCTCTCTCTCTCTCTCTCTCTCTCACACACACACACACACACACCACTAGCCCTTACCCATATCGGCTTAGTTATGGGGTGTTGCTCTTTTTTTTTGTCCAAACTTTTCCTTCTATGTATTTTCGCTAGAGGAAGCACTTTAATACCACGGCCTCTCCTGCTCTTCTCCTCCTTTCTTACTCCCTTCTTCTTTCAGGCTTCCTCCTCTCAACCGTCCCAACCCTTCTGTTTTTTTTTAATAAAGGAAAAATATAGAGCAGTAAGGACTTACCTTGATCTGTACATGGTTATACAAAGAGACGAGCTCCTCTGGATCAGTTTGTAATGAGATTTGTGTTGTGTGATTTTTGTTGTTGGTGTTTTTTTCCTTGCACCAACATACCAAGACCAATTCCTTGTCACACCCGTATAAAGGATTTGTCTCTGTATGTTTGTGGCGGTATCTTTAACTGCCTTATTTTTAGATTTATTCGTATCCTGACAATACTGGGAGGGCGTACATTGCTAAGCATTAGTGTGCCCACAGTGGGAATCGAACCGCTAACCCTGGCAGTGTTAGCGCCACGCTCCACCAATTGAGCATACAAGAATGCCCACATGTTTTTTTTTTTTGTTTTTTTTTTTTCTCGATAATCCCGCATAATTCTTGTCAAACAGAAAAAAAGACAACCAGAGCGTTGACACGAAACAAAACAGACCAGCCAACCCATACCGAGAGAAAAGCAAGCAAAGGGAAAAAAACGCAGACGGGAAAACCGAAACGGAGTAAAAGTGAAAACGTTAATACGCTTACGAAGCCATTAAGCCGATGGACTACTGTAGGAATTAGGAAAACCCAAGATTAGTACGTGGGAATACAAATACCGCCGGGTGGCTGCTGCCGCCGCGCAGCCTAAACCCCGCGCTAATGACCCTGAGCAGCGGCCGTCCAGATAAGATCCATGGCACAGCAGATGTTCCCCATCGCTTATACCGCCGCGCCTCCCCTCTCTCCCTCCCTCTCTCTCTCTCCCTAATGCGTTCATTCGATACCGACACATCCGTTTGACTGTCTCGCTCTTTAAAAAGCGCCCCTCTGGTGATATCCGTGTCCAAATATAGCGCCGCTCCATCACAGCGAACAGCTAGCTGCTACAGCTAGCTAGCTAGCTTTGCGGCGCATCTGTCCTGATGGATGTCTGTCACTTCGTGTCATGTAGGAAACTTGATAACCGAGATCAGAAAGCCCCGGCGGTTTGGTTTGGTTTCCTGCAATGTCAGTGGCAATGCTTGTGGCTTTTGTGTGTGCGTTTGGGCGTGTGTGTATTTGTTTGTTTGCTTGCAGCTAGGCTTGTATCAGTACATGCTTATTTGTTGGTATGATTACTTTGTTGGCATATACAGTATTTATTTGTTAAAAAAACACGAGCGATTTCATCCGCTGAAATAAATGTATTTATTCAACGGTCCTGGAAGCTAGGCTACTAGACAAAAGACAATAACCCCGGTGACAACCCACCCTTACCTTGGCCTGTGACAAACAAATAAAACAACGCATTGCCTTTTGAAAGAACGCAATTATTTCATCCATGAAACGGTCGTAAAAAGCCTATCCCCCTTTTTGAAAACATCAAACGGCCATTATCAACAGCTCATATATTTGCGTTAATCTAGCGGCCGTCCACATTTCTCGGACCGCCCGCCATTCCTGTCTCCCTCTCTCTCTGTCTCTCTCTCTGTCTCTCTCTCTCTGTCTCTCTCTCTCTCTCTCTCTCTCTCTGTCTCTCTCTCTGTCTGTCTCTCTCTCTGTCTGTCTGTCTCTCTCTCTCTCTGTCTCTCTCTGTCTCTGTCTCTCTCTGTCTCTCTCTCTGTCTCTCTCTCTCTCTCTCTCTCTCTCTGTCTCTCTCTCTGTCTGTCTGTCTCTCTCTCTCTCTCTGTCTCTCTCTGTCTCTGTCTCTCTCTGTCTCTCTCTCTGTCTCTCTCTCTCTCTGTCTCTCTCTCTGTCTGTCTCTCTCTCTGTCTGTCTGTCTCTCTCTCTCTCTCTCTGTCTCTGTCTCTCTCTGTCTCTGTCTCTCTCTCTGTCTCTCTCTCTGTCTCTCTCTCTCTCTCTCTGTCTCTCTCTCGGCGTGGAGTCGAGAGGTGAAAATAAGCGGCGTGTCGTCGCCGGTTAATAGGACCCCTCTGCCTTAAACACCGCTGTGATTAGTTCTTACCCCTGCCTTGGGGGGGGGGGGGGGGGGGCGCCTGCCTGGCTCAGTGTTTATCCTCCCATTGTTGTTGTTGTTGTTGTTGTTGTGTGTCTTTCCCCCTTTTTTTTATTTAGTTATTTCTGTGTCCCCCCCCCGAAATCGAAGGGAACCTGTCTGCGCAACAGAAACAAAGCGCCCCCGCCACGCGCCGGCTCGTTAGCGTGCCGTCGCTAAAGCAGATTGCTTATTGAGCCGGGCGGCACTGACAGCCTGAGGGCCGGTCAGCGGGGCGGCGCGGCGTGGGAGAGAGGCGAGCGAGAGACACTGAGGAAGCAGCCAGAGAGAGAGAGAGAGAGAGAGAGATTCATACCCCACAAAACGTTTCCGGACAACTCTTTTGTTTTCTGGGGGGGGGGGGGGGTTTCTGGTTGTTTTTCTTTCCGTTTTCCGTGATTTAAGTTGCCGCGTGATTCATCTGGCTGGCGTGTTTAATTAAAGAGAAAAGTTGAGGGTGTAATTGGAAGTAATGGGTGCGCTGGCGAGTCGAGCCGGGAAAACAATGGCGGCTGTAATGGACGGTGGCGGTGAGGATAGATCACGTCACTTAATCTTGTGATGACCTCTCTGGCAACTCCGGGATTGCGTCTGTGTGTATGTGTCTGTGTGTGTGTCTGTGTGTGTGTGTGTGTGTGTGCGTGCGTGTGTGCGTGTCTGTGTTTGTTTGTGAGAAAGAGAAAGCCACGGGTTTGTTTATTCAAGATAAAAACCGGATTGGACGACAAGTTTAAATTGCTCATTAAATTGCTCACAAATTAGCGTGAGCTAACTGCACGCGTTGCTCATTACAAGCACACATTTGCATTAGCTGATAATACAGTACATGCTGGGCTGTACTGTAATGACACTGTCTGTCGAATGGTGCGTCGATGAAAGGTCGTCTGTTTGCAGTACTTCAATATTCATACATATTATCATTCTGGGGGGAAGAATTCAAGTGATAGTTCTCACACGACGACAGCCATTCCTTCGCAAGCCGTCCTCCTATTGGCTGAAAGTATTTCTACACCGTGATGGTGTGAAAATGGTGTTAATTAGTGAGAATTAATTTGAAATAGAAGAGAAAATAAACTTTTCGAAGTGGGGTAAACACATAGATAGTGGATCCCTGGGAGTCGTTCGAGACAATTAATAAGATAAGATCGTACTTTAATGATCCCAGGCGGGAAATTCGGGATTGGTCGAGTGACAGACGGAGAGAGAGAGAGAGAGAGACAGAGAGAGACAGAGAGAGAGAAAAAATTGTATTTTTCACGTATTGTCTTGATAAAGAGAGTAGCCAAAGGGCGCTTTCACACCTGAGCCGTTGGTCCATTTCAATCAAACCCTGGAGCGTTTCCCCCGATAGTGCAGTCTGATGCTTGTGGAGTCACACAAAAAAAAGTGTTTTTTGATCAATTAAGTGCATGAAGTCTAATTGAGCGACATACTGCTTGTGTGGAGTGTGGTGCACGTATTGGAGATGGCATGACGGTATACGCCGAGCAGATGTAACACGCTGCCATGACAGTGTCTCTCCCCTGAGTGTGTGTGGTGATAGCTGGTTTATCCTGGGTGCCATGACTCCTCATGCACCACAGGTGTGCAGCCCCACCCAGACCCAGAGTCTCATCAGTCTGACTCAGGCCAGGTGAGGCTGTAAACCAGCTAGCAATCACACACACACTGCACAGGTTGAAAGGGGGTTCTGTGGCTCGGCAGATCAATGTTACGTAAAAGCGAAGAAGCTTTCGTCAACAATATATATATATATATATATATATATATATATATATATATATATATATATATATATATATATATATATATATACATGTATATATATATTTTGTCCGAAAAACAGGAAGTGCTTCATTGAGTTTACCTCAGATTTTCTGTCCGATAGACGAGCAACCCGCACGGCCACGAGGCCAAACATGTTTGGTTCGCCTAACAAAGTCCAGTGTGAGCGCTAACCGAACCAAATGAAAAATGCATCAAAGTATCAACTTCACACCTCAATCGGGCCGAGTCTAACGAAGTATGGGAGAGAGAGAGCCCTAAGAGACAGAGACTAAGAGACGAGAGAGAGATAGAAAAATAAATACGATGATGACATGAGAATAAAGGAACTGAAAGGATTTCACAGTTTGAGTGACTCATGTAACGCGTGTACACGTGTGTGCGCGCCGTGCTCCTTGTGACAATGTGAACCACTAGACTCAGTAGAATACAATTCGGTAGAGTTGTGTCTAATCATCCCGCTCACGCGGAAAGCGTGATGAATTAGTCATAGAGCAATAAGGCGAGCAGAGGAGCCACAAGCTTTCGCTAATGGCAACGGCGGTAATTGCAAAGTGATTGCTACGGCTCCCACCTCCTTTTTTTTTGAAACACACACACACGCACGCACACACACACACACACACACACACACACAGAGTCCCAGACGGAACCGCAGATGTTGCTTGCATCTGTGGTTTAAAAAGGTGTGCATTTTAACCGATTCCCGTCACCTATTTAATTTCCTCCTCGTTCCCGAGCTTCTCAGTAAAGGAAATACCATCTGATGAAACATGGACTCTTGGCTCACCCGGTGAACCACCAGCATACTCTCAAGAGCCCATATTATGAATATTATTCAGCTATTCAACAAGGCCCGCCATATAATGGTTATTTTGTACATTGGTCACCGCTGGGTGTTAATTTATTTGTACAGGCTTTTTGTGGACGAGAGAGAGCTAAAGGAAGATCTGGATGAGGAACAGAGCAGATTTAATCTCAATGAACATGATGCACAATTATCTGTGTTGGCTGTCATGTGCCAGTGCCCATGACTTATCTGGAGGGAGGCAGGAGAAGGGGAGGGGGGGGAGTAGTGTGGTATCGAAACCCAGAAGGTGCCCAGTGGAGATATGGAGAGAGAAGGGGAGCCTAATTGGCTAAACTAATGACTTATGTGTATCATTTGTCATCCTCTGTTTCTCCGCGTCACGCAGATGTCTCTATCATTTCTTCTTCTTCTTCTTCTACTCCTAGTGTATCCATTACAACGAGACCTAGCATCGGTTGGCCAGTACGTGCCCATGGCATCCCACGGTTGAAAAGCTGGGGGGTCAAGCCCACTCATCCGTCCATCATGGCAACATTACACTTTATTTTTTTGGGGTCTTTTACGGACGGAGAAATATTGGCCTATTTTATTTATCGTTGTTTAACGAAGACGGCGGAAGGGTCGAGTTTAATTAACCCGACTCGGCCGATAAATGGAAATGCCAAGTGGCTGCCTGGTGCCGCGGCCGCATTCGTTTTATGAGGCGGAGGCCATTTTCGTCCCGTGGGTTGTAAAAAAAATCCACCGCCCACCAGAGCTGGTTTGAT